AAACCTTTCTAAGCAAAATAAAAAGTTTAGCCCTCTCGTTCATGGCGTCGTTTTTTTAGTGAAGGTGTTATCAAACATTTAAAATCAACCAGATTATCCAAATTAGATTAGGCTAAAAGAGATAAATCTTTAAGAAAACTTTAAAAGTAATGGGTAAATTTGGTTAATTTCCTTATTATTATTACTATTAAATATATCATAAAAAAAACTTAATTAAAAGAAAGACCCTCTATACCGGAATTTTTGAAATGTAGACGCTGTCCCAAAAAATCATTGCTTATATTGTATATCTAGAGGGAGGTGGCGAATTTCCAAAATCAGTATTTCAACTGATAAATACTCTGCCAAATGTATTGAACTGCTGCGTGAATTTATGGAATGGCAAGTAGATTACATTTCACGGCTGGCGAACATTCTTCTTGAAGGGCCCCAGAAGATTTGTCTACATTAATATATACATACATACGCACATACATACATACATATATATATATATATATATATATATATATATATATATATATATATATATATCATACTTTCATTGCCATCAATATCATAAATTTGATTCGTGAAAAAAATGATTGCATAAAAGACCACGTCTGCAGGTCTATCGTTAATCGAGCGACATACACACAGTGCAGGTGCAGGGGAGTTTCTAGCATTGGTTCCCAAGGAATATCAGCCAAAAAATTCAAATCTGTTTTCTAGCGTTGAATCCCTTTATCTGCTCTCGCCACGTGATTTGTTGCAGGAAGAGTGGTTGTCAAGAAAAGCATATTCCAAAATTCTATCATGCCATCAACCTGCTTCTCACTCTTGGCGCTCGTCGATTCCATAAGAAATGTTTTTTTTTTATAATGAATCGTTTTTTCCTGATTGCAGTGCACATTTATTCCATTGCACATAGATCAATACGTGGAAACATACTTGTGTTATGAATACACTCTTTTACTTCACTGCATGAATTTCCAGATCTATCAATCATAGTTCCAATGCTTGCTCTTTTTAGGTCTTTTAATTTTGAATGGAAAATAACTGTAAGACGTGTAAGTGGTACAGATGAATAGACTAGAAGGATCTATGTAAAGAAGGAGTCAATGATTTTATGTCGGCTTATTTTAGTGTTTTCTTGAAATAAAATTTGTCCATTGTAATGAATGGTTTTTGAGCTTTAAAAATTCTGGTTCTTACCCCTTTCGTCAATTCCACGTCAAATATTTTGATAAATCATCCCTATTCTATATTTGTCCTGCTAATGAGCCTGGAAACCGGAGTAGATACTTGCCTTTTACCACGGTAAAAGTCTGCTTATTTCTGCTGAGTTTGCAAAGTCAGGTGTTACCTGATGGAGGGTCCTGTTTGATTACCGTAATTTCTCGAAAATAAGAAGAACCCATAAATAATACGCACCCCAATAAATGAGACAAAAATTAAGAAGTATATATATATATATATATATATATATATATATATATATATATATATATATATATATATATATATCCCTATGTATAATACGCATCTATAAATTTTGCCCCCCAAAAAAAAAATAATAATTACAAAGACATTTTGTCGATCATTAAGAATATAATTTTTTTCGATCATTAAGAATAAAATGGAAACTAAGTGGCTAAAATAATGCTGAATATTACCATAAGGTTTTCCAGATGAATATAACATTTTATTTTACCGCCAAAATGAGATTCAGTCAGTAAGGATGTTATAAAGAAAGGTTTCAAGAAGTGTTGTCTTACGACAGCCATGGATGGCTCTGACATCTTTAGGCAAGAGAATGAAAAGGCCGAAGATAATCTTAACAGGACGAAGATAATATTGCGAATGATAATTTGTTTAATGACAATTTAGATATTGATTCTATATTATAAAGTGTTGATGAAAATTAAAATTTCAATAAATTGTTAACTTGATACACTTTTTTCTTCGAAATTGGCTTTTTTTATATATGTTTTAATTTTTCGCCAAATAAAATATATGTTTAAAGCATAAATTTATATTTAAGTATTATTGTTGGATTTAAAATGAAAATTGGGATAATATCTTTCTTATTTTAGAACAAATACGTATTTATTAATATAAATCAATAAGGAGAAAAAAAGTTTGTTTAAACCTATCTATAATACGCACCCCTACTATCACCTGTAATTTACTGTAAAAAAAGATGCGTATAATTTTCGAGAAATTACAGCAATTAGATTAAGCGGAGTTGGCTACAAAGTGAAGGAATCTGAGCAGCTGCACCGTTTACTTACCGCAGGTTCAAAGTCATTTCACAATCAATAGGTCACCATTTATACGCTTTTGGATCTATATGTTATCTCAATCCTCCATCTTGTTTCAATCTATTGATCAAGAATATTGTTGCCTGTGGAAACTAAATTCAAATGTTGCTATCACATCTGACATAGACAAGCTTCATTTTATAATTTTCAAATATTGTAGTAGGAAAATGTTGTCGGCAATCTGGTTGTCTGTGACTTTTAATTCATCCAATATATTTACAGTATCACGTGTCACTGTTGGATCAAAAGCTCTTATATACACTCCTTTATTTTCTTCAATTAATTTTGTTTGATGTCTCATATTATCAGCCTTTTACCTCAGTGGAAACATTCGGCATTGATAAACGAGAATCCAATATTGCTGGCGACTGAAATTTATAAAATCTTTCTAGTAAACAATTTTTCAGGAAAACAGATTTCTTAAGTCAAATAGACGTTACTCTTATTGCCTTTAGAATCCACCTTAGAAGTACTAGAAAGGCAGTACTGGTGGAGGCGTGGTTCCTTTCTAAACATTAATGGAAGTAGTGAGGAATGCCAACATATTAATTATATCATTATTTTCTCTCCCAGTTACAGACTGTGTCCAGTTTATTATGGTTTCTCTTGTTTGACAAAGTTATTTGTGATTTTATAGCGCCAGTCTATAAGTTTCAAAGAAGGATAGTTTTCGGCAAAACGCACAAACTTCACTCACTCAAAGCAGTGTTAACCATTGATCTGAGGAAGCGGTTGTTTACAGCTAATAGTTTAGATACTTCATTACCTGTTTAGCGCCATGTAAAATATAGGCTACTAATACATTTAGATATATATTCACGATAAAGTTTATCAGCTTCTGAAAAGAGTGATACATTAGCAGTTAGAGAAGTTAGATTGAATGGTTATGGTGTTCAAAGTTTATAATGTCTGGTTATATGAAGTCATGTATAGTGCGTTCAGTTAGCAGTTCGAATCAGCAAAGAATATACCGTGTAGGGCAGCTACGATCGCAAATCAAAAGTGTATAATTATTTACTTTATATATATATATATATATATATATATATATATATATATATATTACGATAAACGTAATTTAAATCAATTTACAAATACATGAATTATTCACACAAAAACTAATGCAAAGGTTAATGATTTAAATGGCGAGACATCCATCATCATTACTAAGAGAAAAAAACAAGAACAACATCTATTCTATACCTGAAGATGTCTGTAGGAACAGACGAAAGCTTGTAGTAAAATAAGAACTAATACGGCAGAAATTTATATAAACAAGGATCATTTCATTCATAACGGATACGGAGGTTTTTGTATATTATTTGAATTGTTTGCGTCTAATATGCTTGCTGTTGGTTTTGAACACATTGTTGCAGTTCTTACATGTTGTATCCCGTTTCTCTTAAATTTTCGGTTGATTTGTCCACTTTATCTGTTTGGATTTGATAGACCAGAACTGATGAGAACTCTTCGAGCCAAATTCATAATTTTGTCTTCAATTTTACAGAGAGCAAAACGCGTGCAATCTGAAGACACAATTCCAATCAAAGAATCAATCGTTTGTAGAAGATGAGCTATTTAAATTTAGAAAGTTTTCCTCATATATTTAGAAATGTGACGCTTAGATTTTCGCATTATATATATATATATATATATATATATATATATATATATATATATATGGGAAGTAATCCCTCTTTTATAGGAACTCCATGAAAGATGACTGAGAAGGTACTGCAATAAAGCATTTTATTTCAATTTGTTTTGTCATCGTATATGTATTTTTTCTTTTTCTGGAATTCAAGTCTTTAAAAACTTTAAAAATGTTCTATATATCCCATTACTTTTAGCTATTCTGAGATATTTTCAAATATATATATATATATATATATATATATATATATATATATATGTGTGTGTGTGTGTGTGTGTGTGTGTGTGTGTGTGTGTGTGTGTGTGATTTAGTGACAAGTAACATCACTACATCAAACCTACGGACGGAAAAAAGTAACTTCTAATTTTCATCAAAATGATTGAGAAATTATATAAATAATAATATCCATCTTTCCTAGGGCACCTAAAGCTGAATTTGATCCTTTCAAAACAATAGAAAGTTAGATATAGTTTTCTTCTCATGAGAGTCAAATATCTGGCATATATTTGGAAAGCATGAGAGAATATAAGGTAGACAGTTTTGGTTTACTTGGGAATCAAAATGTTACATATAGGTTTGAGATTATAAATGGTTGACATAGGTTTTTTTTTTCCATGGCGGATAAAATGGCAACATTATTTCCTTTTGCCGACTATCAAATATTTAATAATAGCTACAATCTGCACGATAGTTTTTAATGATATACTTTGGTTTGTTTGGAACCAAAAAGTAGATAGAAATTTGATTTGAATGAGTGTTAAAAAAGTGATATATGTTTACTTTAAATGAATATAAAAAATGTAGACATGAGTATAAAAAAACCGGTATTCCCCTTTGTGGGAACTTAAGCCTATGTACCTTGATGCAGTTTGATTATTAATAACAATAACTAACATGGTCATAAATACTGTGTGATATATATATATATATATATATATATATATATATAGATAGATAGATAGATAGATAGATAGATTATATGAACAACAGGATAGATTACGTGAACAACAGGTAAGATAAATAGATAGATAGATTATATGAACAACAGGATAGATAGATAGATAGATAGATAGATAGATAGATAGATAGATAGATAGATAGATAGATTATATGAACAACAGGATAGATAGATAGATAGATAGATAGATAGATAGATAGATAGATAGATAGATACTGACATAGTGATAAATTGTGGGAGAAATCAAAATAGATGAATTTGAGCGGAAATATGTAATCAAATATAAATTGATACATGAGAAAGGGTATGATTTAAGATGAAATATACACGGGAAAGAGAGAGAGAGTGAAACATTCTGAACAACTGAAAATGAACTGAATACTTTTATTGAAATAAACTGATTACTCGATCACAATGATGAGAATGATGTTTTGAAAATGGCAACTGTGGATAAACAATATTGAAAATATTATTTAGACACTTAGATACGAATAAAACAATATAGTTTGACAGACACGAAGAGAAGGACACAGATCGATAAATACTAACGTACTGAGATAGATAAATAGACAGATAGAAAAATAGGAATATGCATGTCTAAAATGAGTTAGATCTGTTGGTTTTACGATATTCACCACAATTAAGGGATAATTTATTGGCAAAACTTTACATGGATTCCTGTTTTTATATGGATACCCCAGTGGAAATGATCCTGTCAGAATAACTAATCAACAAGATGACAATCGATAACTGGGGCTCCTGGGAGAAATGAATACATAGAAAATGACATATGTATATATATATATATATATATATATATATATATATATATATACGTATATATGTCTCTGTGTGTGTGTGTAGATAGATAGATAGATAGATTATATGAACAACAGTATAGAAAGATAGATAGATAGATAGATAGATAGATAGATAGATAGATAGATAGATACGAACAACAGGATAGATAGATATGAACAATGGTATAGATAGATTATATGAACAACAGGATAGATAGATAGATAGATAGATAGATAGATAGATAGATAGATAGATAGATACGAACAACAGGATAGATAGATATGAACAATGGTATAGATAGATTATATGAACAACAGGATAGATAGATAGATAGATAGATAGATAGATAGATAGATAGATACGAACAACAGGATAGATAGATATGAACAATGGTATGAACAATGGGATAGATAGATAGATAGATAGATAGATAGATAGATAGATAGATATAGACAATGAATAGATTATATGAACAACAGTATAGATAGATAGATAGATAGATAGATAGATAGATAGATAGATAGATAGATAGATAGATAGATATGAATAATTGAATATGGAGGCATATTTGGCATAACTGATAGATATTTCATAGGAATATGGTAAGACTGATATATACCGTTTTGTGTAGCTAAAAATAACCTGAGGCATGATGATATAAAACGACAGACAAAGATCGATAGATGTGAACAGATTCAAAGAAATTGCTTGTTATCAAGAAAGTGGCATATGAGGAACTCACTTGAACAAAAGACAGCTTGTCAATGAGCAAAAGAACGGGCGTAGTAAGTAATGAACAAGGAAGAAAATGACGACGAAGACATACGTTAAATCGTCAATCATTTCGTGAAAGAGACGTGATGTAAAAGTTAGCAAGCCTACCTCATTAGATCAATTATGACTGAATGATAAGTTCGATCATCACTGGGTTCTCAGGCTCTCGGCTTTCCGCCACATCTGAAATACACTTAGAAAATCACCATATAGTAACAGAGACACACAGATGGAGTGAAAGAAAGGAAGAAAGAAGACTAGCGAGAGAAAGGTATGAGAAGACAGCCGCTGGTTATCCAGAAAAACCTGAGACAAAAATCACCCAAACAGACAAAACGAAAGAGATAACAATCGTTTGCTGTTAGAAGGAAAAGCCAATTGTTCTCAACTTGTTTTGTTCGGAGTATTGATCAATTAAGACTGAATAGTGGCTTCGTTCATCACTGAGTTCCTATACTCTCGGCCTTCTGTCACATCTAAACTACGCTTAGAAAATCACCATATAGCAAAAGACATACATAGATAGAATGAAAGAAAGAAAGAAAGAAGAAAGAATTGCGAGAGAAAGTTATGAGAAGAGAGGTTGGTTATCTAGATAACCAGAGACAAGACTCACCCAAGCAGACAAAAAAAAAAGAGATGCTGAATGATTGCAGGAAAAGCCAATTGTTCGCATCTTCTTTTGTTCGATGTATCGATTCGGTTACATAACCCATCATTCAGTTTAAGCTCTCCAGTAATGTAGTGTTTAATGTTCATTCATCATAATTATCACTAAAGCTTCACAGTAGAAAGCATCAGCCGTCTTCTACTCTAAAGGACCTTCTTACTAAGAATATCAACTACGGTTGGACATCAGCTTCGCAATCCAAAGGGCAAGGTTTAATCCTTACGGAAACCATATCAATCCATTTTTTTCTTTTAACTGTCAAGTATTATTTCATGTAATTTTCTTATTTTTAATCTGATGATTAATTCATTTTTCTTTTAGATGTGGAACATTATTAGTGCAAAATACAGCATTTCCCTGATATCAGCCAGAATTAAATACAAAAAAAAACAAAAAAACTAAAAAAAAAAAAAAAATTCCAAATATTAAACTCAAATGTTTATTATACTTAAACATAGCAGCTGCTTTTTCTGCTTACAGACAATGGCTGGAAGGACTTAATATAAATTGATTCTATAAATCTTTATTTGAAAATCAAAGCAAGCTTTTACCGATTTCATTCAGCGTTCCCTTTCTAAGCAGAATGAATGGTTGTTAGGTCTCATTATAATTTCGCTTTGATATTTATAATTGTTTCATTTTAAAATAAAGTGTTAGATTTGGTAATGTCTATTGTATTCATTTCTGACTAATACCTGCAAGATGTCTTGCAACTGCATCAACGATGATCCCCATACATATTGATTGCTATTTTATTTTATTTTTATTTTCAGAATACATTTCCTTTCAAAAGTTTATTGCTAAACATTTTTTTTTTCATTATTTACATTATTCGGATTATTGTCCTCATCGTTGTAGCCATATTTATTACAATGTTTCAGCCGTTGTACGCTCCGGACTTCTTCAGATAATTAGAATGTCAAACTAAACCCTATATTTCCCTCACTGGCTAGACTGTTCTAGTTCCACGTGCCATGTTTAATGGGTGTCCGTTATCAGTTATCTCCTGTTAATTTCCTTCTCCAAGTTCTCCACTGCTTTAGCCGGGTATTGAACTCAAGCACTTTGGGTCTTGTAACTGGATCTAACCAACGCCTTTATCCACTGTGCCTTATATGTCCCTGAAAAAATCTGTGTATGAATTTCTGGGTATTATAAAACCTAATGCGATATGAGCTCTGGTAAAAACATTCATTGATAAATGCAAAAAATTGCAATATGATCACTGGTAAAGCAGGTTGCTGAAGACATTAGGTTTATAATACCCAGAAATTCATACACGGATCTCCTCAAGGGCACATGGCACAGTGGATAAAGGCGTTGATTAGACTCAAATAGTGTCGGTTCAATACCCGGTTATGGCAGTCGAGAACTTGGAAAGGGTAATTAACAGGAGACATCCATTAACTGAATTCCATTAAACATGGCACGTGGAACTAGAACAGTCTACACCAGTAAGCGAAATAAAGTTTTCAGTTCGACATTCCAACGCTGAAACGTTGTAATAAATATGGCGACAAAGATGAGGACAATGGTCCGAATAATGTAAATAATGTCCATAATACGACATCCGTCAAATATAGGCAGATAATCAAAGTATTATTACCATTTTTTTTTTCATTATTTTGCAAAGAAGAATTTACATGTGTGTAAAAGTAAATGAAGAGATAATTAAATATATACTGGAAAGTTCTGCCTCAATCATCGTTTAGCGAAACTCCAGCCGCATTGTATCATTTGCCTGCAAGCAATGTACCAGCGATGGCAAGCAGACATTGTCTAAGCGAAACAAAAGCATGAACATCAACCGAGATAAATAGCTGAAGGCTGCAGACGGGACCGGCTAATCGTGCACCTGAACACTACTAGCTGGCACCTGATAGGTATTAGAAAGTCCCACAGAAAATGAGATGCTCATTTATTGCCGACATATGTAATAATTTATTCTATTATCGAGAAAGAACATATTCAGTTCAATGATTTCAGTCAATATTATTATTACAGAGGCGTACTAGATATTTATCTAACGACTAAAACAAAAGCGTTTACTAAGTGTGAAGCTGTTATATTCCGTGCTAATTGTAAAATATATACTTGGTAAAAACGGTGAATAAAATGAGTAAAGGTTTATTATAAAAACCAGTACAATAAGAATAAAGGTAACAGTTATGCACAAGGTTGTTGCAAGTCAATCTCGTAGTGAGTGCTACTATTGAAACGTTCGTAGTCCTCGCGTAAGTCGTACTCAACATATCCCAGCTAGTAATATTTACCAACCTCCCCCGAGGTAGGATGTGGCACAATGCCGAGTTTAATGTGGGGCGGTGTGGGATCTGGTCTGTCTATCTCCCCGGACAAGACTCTGCCCTTCGGCATAGCATCCTCCGGGTTCTCCTCTGCCCGAAGGCAGAGAGTTCAACAGCTAATACCTAAGTAACAGATTCCAGCTAATGTATTTACTAACCTGCCAACGCGATCAGATTTGGCACAAGGCCGGGTTTAATGTAGGGCATTCGAGCCCGTACACTCAGCAAAAAATTCCCGTAGACACCGTATCATACGGGGTCGGGTAGCTATTTCCCGAAACGAGACTCTGCCCTTTGATATAGCTTCGACTAGGGATCCTCTCTGCTCGGGGACAGAGAGTTCAACCAGCTCAGCTGGAAAAGATACCAGGTAGTCTCTGTAGTCCGTTCACTTACAGATATTATAGGCAGTTACTATCTATAGTGTAGTCCCTCATGGGGGTGACAGGTTATTCCATTACATCAGAAACAATACTAGAAAAAGAATAACACTATTATGGAGAGATTATAATAAAACAGGAGTAATTAAGAAGATAGCAGATAACGATTGACACTGCATTTACATTTCAAGTTGAAAGTTGACTGGAAAGCAAGAAGCCGGAAAAATATCCATAAGTGACAAGTACGAGAAGAAAAACTGTTAGCATAAAACTTATACTTGCATCCAGTCCTTTCAAATGTAAAATGATGTGATTTAGTTGCCAATCTAGTAGTGCGCTTAAATTAAGTCTAAAGTATTAACAGAAAAGTCGAAGCGAAGTTGTATGACATTAGTGGGAAAGTAACTGATTCTTTGTTTATTTATTTTTTGTTTTTTTTATAAAGAATCTTTAAATATATAGTAGGGTACATTGTATTTAAGTAAAAAAAATATGTCTAGAATTATTTTCCCTTTGGAAATGAGTTTAAAAATAAAGAGACAGAATTATTACTGACTCTCTCTCTCTGTCATAAATTTAAAACTAATTTTCACCCAGTACAAGACCCAAGTAGAGGATAACTGTATGATTTTGAATGAGTATAATAAAGGAAAAATCTGCATGAGTTTATGTATCAAAGATAGGCTTGAAGCGGTCAAGATTGTAGTGGATGTAAAAATATCCTGCCGAGAGTCTGTTCAACAAAGCGGCAATTATTGAGAAGAACCTGTCAGATTAGAAATTAATTCTTACTAATGGAACACGAATGGAGATCGTCAATATCGTCTGTGGGAAAGTAGTTGTAAGTTTGGAAAATAATTCATCAACCACAAGGCCGCGAAATCGTTGTACTTTTTCAAGACAGGCAAGGAATAACGGGACAGCACAGTCCAGATATGACTGTAATACTTAGTTTTGGACAATCTGATTCTTGTAAATTTTGTGTATATTCCCCGTGAGGACTAAAACTTTCCAAGCCGCACTTCCTCCTTATAAGTCCAATTAATTTTAATGGCCTTTTCTAGATTTTGAATTTAAATGTTCTTTTCCATAGAATTTGTCAGTATCCTTCTGCTGTGTCTATTTTCTTTTCGCATGCATGGAGGAATTAAGATGGAACGCAAAGGGGCATACGGCAAGGATATATTTTTACAACGGATTTATTTAACCTACGCAGTGAGACAATCCTAAAAGAACTAGATCATAATCTTAATTACAAGATATGCTGATGAAACTTTGTTACTAACAGACAAAGAAAAAATGCATAAGGCTGTTAAGGAAAGTTAGGAGAAAGGCATAAATAGCAATCCTATGACATAAAGAATTAGGGTTGTTAGAAAAATGACCTCCACCTCCCAAACATTCGAAAAAGAAATTGGAGACGTCAAAATCGAGCAAGTATGAACATTTAAATACCTACCGAATGTTTTAGCAGAAGACAGCAAATTTGACACGGTAATCCGAAGGCGCATTGGAATAGCAAACCAATCCTTCTATAATTTGAGTAATGATTAAAATAAAAACAGAAGTATTTCACTAGAAACAACGAGAAGAGTACTGAAATGTTATTTAATATCAATCGTCCTATATGGCAGTGAATGCTCGACAATTTCATCACAGATGAAATGTATACTTGAGACAACTGAAATGCTGAGAAGTCCATTGGCTGAACAC